TCCAAGGAGCTCAAACAGAGTTGAAAATTTGTTTGTGTGTCAATAACAGAAGGAGGAAAGTGATGCCTCAGTGTTAACACTACTAAGTTACAATTGATGCTGACAGTCCAAAATTTCCATTAATTCATAAACTCAGAGGGCTGACTCAAGCCATAAAGCATAAACCACAGTAGCTGAACTGACACTGTGCCTAACATGATTTGAGCGAACATCCTTTGTTCCCTTTGGGTTTTCTGTTGGTTTTATCTTGTTTTTTTATTAGGTATTACTGCTGGCATTTTTATTCTTTTGTATTGTACTCACCTTCTTCTATATTTTAAATGAATTTTGCCTGGACTACCTCTGTTATTGAGGGAAAGACCAGCTTGGATAGTAACTGAATCCTTAAAGGATTTAAATGTTTGAGACTTCTATTCTGAATAGAAATTAAAACCCACCTCTTAGAAATTTCTTTGCTCACCTTTGGATCGAGGTTTTGTTGTGTTCTCTGCTCACACAATGTTTGTTTAGACTAGTTAATAAGGAGAATGAGTTTATTCCTTCTAAAATCATTACGAAAGTATAAAAAAATACACAAGGTCACGTCCTTAAAAGAAAAAGGTAATTTAAATTGATCCAGGAAAAAAAAGTTTTCCATTCTAATTACCTGCACTGTTTTTAAATTTTCTTTTCTTCTTGCAGCAAAGGAGAAAAACACTTGTAGAGGAACAGAAGCACTGCTGTGCATGTTACAATTAACTGATGGCCACCAAGGCTACACTCAAACTCTTATTGCTGCTTTTCCTCTGAATGTATGGAGAACAACATGCAGGCATGCTGGGGGTGGATTGGGGGTTGGGTGGGAGTTCTTTCATCCACTAGAGGGGGAAATGTAATTGCTTTCAGCAATTACCTTCCAGTTACCAAGTTACTACAGAAGCACCAATTAAAATGTCGACAATTATAAAACCCTATAGCAAAGTTAGGAGCAAGACCAAAAGAAAAGATCCTCAGAAACAACTATTTAAGCTAAGGTGGCGCAGTGGTTAGAGTGCAGTATTGCAGGCTACTTCTGCAGACTTCCGGCTGACTGCAATTTGGCAGTTCAAATCTCACCAACTCAAGGTTGACTCAGCCTTCCATCCTTCCAAGGCGGATAAAATGAAGACCCAAATTGTTGGGGGAAATATATTGACACTGTAAACCGCTTAGAGAGTCCTGTAAAGCACTGTAAAGCGGCTTATAGGTCTGTGTGCTATTGCTATTTCTTCTACATTGTTTAATAACATATTAGAAACTGCAGAATGGACATATTTAATATATGAGTGAAATCTATCTGAGTCAAATACCTCAGTTTCAATCTAAATTGTTCATTTTTATATTGATTTGTATTACAACAGTAACTCTAAATCCATTTTGGTAAACCATCCTACAGGCAATAGAGACAATTTAAAATCACAGATTTCTTATTACCACTTAGTAATAGTGCAAACTGGTAAATTGGCTTTATGTTTTGCTGATATTGTGTTTATCTTCCCACCTTGAACTGTGACATGTGAGGCATATACATTTAATAATAGCCCTGTTGTTTTGTGTCTTTAAATCAGTATTGGCTCCTGACGACTGCCTGGATTAGTTCCTGCAGTTTTCTTGACAAGGTTTTTCAGAAGTGGCTTGCCATTGCCTCCTTCCTAGAGCTGAGAAAGAATGACTGGCTGGGTGGGACTAGAACTAGAACTCACAGTCTCCAAATTTCTATCCTTGGACATAAATCACTAGGCTAAACTCTCCACTAATACATAAAACTGAGAAAAAATTGTTACAAATTTTCTGTTAGGTAAACTTTTATATCGCCCATTGTTTTAGACTTTTTGAAAAGGAGAAAGATTAAAGAAACCTCTGCTCCCTTCCTCCTCTTCATCATGGTGTAGTGAAGGGCTTTGCTCCTTACTAGGTAATGTGTACTTGGACTAAACATACTTGCTTTTAGTCACTTTTATTTCCCTTCTGCATTGTGCTCATTCTCCTCTACTAAATTCTAAATTAAAAGTTCTCTGAGCAGACCAACTTGAATATAAAATACCATTTATTCTGATGGTCGTAAATGACAAATTGATCAAAAATATTCCTAGTAAACTGCTGCCATTCTCATTCTTATATAAATATTTCCTGCAATATATACAGTACACTGCCCATGCTGATAAAAGATTCCAAGGTATAATACTG